TACATATTGACAATATATAATGCAGTACAATGTTGATTTAAAGAAAATAATCTTGAAATACACCAAGAGAACTAAAATTTTATGGGTGAAATGGTGCCATGGGGTGACTTTTCTTCCACCCCAATGCCTTCTCTTCTTCCTTCTCCTCCACCCCCATTGTAATTCCCATCATCATCATCATCATCCAGGAGCCTTCTACATACACACCTCAAAGTAAGTGAACTTTTCTACCATTTTTGTTGAATTTAGGAAATTTTCGGTGAGCTGGAACCAATTACCCAAAAACCCATTGAAACAATGGTTTCGGTTAACGAACTTTTCGGTTAACGAACGACCTTCTGGAACGGATTGAGTTCGTTAACCGAGGGGTCACTGTATTATATCAAGCACAGTATGAAAAGAATATCACTAATATAAGAGTATTTTAACCGAAAACTACTAAAAAAATGAGTAACATATCTTGAACATCGGAAGGTTAGGTAAAGTCTCTTGTTTTCGTCATGTATTTTATCCTATTTTACATTGAAATACATCACATTTCGGCAAAACTACTATTTATTTCTGAGAATATATTCATTCAGGCACAGTTTAGGTAAAATAAACATGTGCTGTAACATTTTTTAATTGAAAACGATTCGAAAAACACGTACCCTCTAGCCCTGTTAAAAAGAAGACTGGGAGGAGCTGTTTGGTGCTTAAGACGATGACAAGGAAAATGATTTTGATGTATTTTAATGAAAATATTCAGAAAGACCCTGGCACTGTCAAGGAAAGTGGCTGCTGAAGGCTTCCGGGACATGGCAGAAGACGAGATTAGGGAGCTAATTGAAGAGCACGACACTGAGCTGACCGAGGAGGATCTACAGGAGTTAGTAGACTCAGGCAAGGAAGAGGAAGAGGAAGCGAAAGGGAAAGAGGATGAGGAAGAGGAAGAGCACCAAGAAATAACGTTGGAGAAGTTGGGGGAGATGACCAGGAATATTGAGGCACTGAAAAACCTAGCCTATAGTATGGACCGCTCCATGGTGCGTGCCCTGAAATTCATGTGAGGGATGAATGACGTTTTCGCTCCATACAAAAACATCATGGAAGAAATGAATGAAAGAGAGGACAACTCCCCATCACCTTGTTCTTTGATCACCGAAGGAGAGATTTAACACCAATCACTGGTGGCAGTGAGGAAGCAGCTGAATCCACCGTTGCCCCCACTTCACCACCCGTTATGGAATTGAGTGACTGGACAGTAAAGTGAAGTTTTTATCTCTTTTTTTTTAATAGCTTTTCTTGCCATGTTTATTGTTTGTAAAAATGTACAGCACAGTACAGTTCAGTACTGTACATAGGAAGTGGAGGTGCAGTTATTCACAAAACATTTGTGTTTGTTATCGGCAGTAGCGACGGTGGAGGTGCAGGAGGCGGAGGAGGGAGCGAGTTGGGAGGAGTGGTGACCTTGGACGCGGGAGCAGGGACGAGATGCCAGCCAGTACATTACGGGTGTATTAATTGTTTTTATAGCTATTTTTGCATTTTAATACTAAATACTGTACATTACGTTTCAACAAAACTACCATTTATTTCTGAGAACATGGAAATGTATATTTTTGCTGAAATGATGTACGTATTACAGTGGAAAGTGACGAAAGCAATGACTCGCTTTCTTTCGTTCAAAAGATGTTACCGTAATCGCTTTTCGAATGCTTTTCAGTTGTGGGATTATAAGGCTAATGATAGGATAGAATATTATTGTAATACAGTACGAGTACAACAGTTTTTTAACTGAAAACCATTCGAAACGCGAGTACGGTAAAATATTTTGAACAACGAAAGAAAGCGAAAGTCATTGTTTTCATAATTTTATCCCACTTTCCACTGTACAGTAATATGTACGTCATTTCAGTCAAAATATTACATTTCCATATTTATTTCTGAGAATATATTCATTCAGTCACAGTTAAGGTAAAATATACTTGTGATGTAATATTTTAATGAAAATACAGTATCGTAGTTTCTTTTGTATCAAATTTAATTAACAAATATTGATGTTTCACATGTAATGAACAAAAATTTATGTACAGTATCTATAAATAAACTTTAACAAATGAATACTTGTTTTACATCGTCCAGTGTATACCATACCATGGATTTGGCTACTTTGGGCTAGCTATGATGACGCAAGAGACTGCCCTGGCGACTGTACCGACACTCACAGCTGGTGGTGCGTTGGTGCGTCGTTTCCATTGTTTACTGGTAGTTACTGGTAAATATTTTTCAACCTAACGAAACTATTACCCTTTTAGAGGTCGACCCCCAATTTTTTGCAAAATAATTTGGTCTTAAAAACTCGAACTACACACAGGTATATACGGTAAATAAGGACATGGGGGGCCAGGGGTTTTTTATATATATTATATATATATATATATATATATATATATATATATATATATATATATATATATGTATATATATATATATATATATATATATATATATATATATATATATATATTCTTGATAAAATCAATAATGAAAATGGAAAACAATCGGAGTAATTCTGGTTGGCTTTATATATATATATATATATATATATATATATATATATATATATATATATATATATATATATATATATATATATATATATATATATATATATATATATATATATATATATATATATATATATATATATATAAGGCGTCATTAGTGAACTCCTCACTTACGTCAATTGAACCCACGGAGGCCCGCGTAAAGCGAGAAACGCGTAAAGTGAACAACATAACATATGGGATTAAATGAAATAGAGACCGGCTGACCCTCAAACTCCACTTTTTCCGACACAATACCTATGTTCTAGTAAAAATAACATCTTAATTTTATGATGGTACATGCACACAATTAATACTTAAGAGAAATAGAGAAATACAGTCGCTAAGTTAATGTCCATTAAAATAATGGACTCAAGTCCCTCCCCCTCTTCTCACACTACACTCGCTGGCTCTTCCCTCTCTGAGAAATTTTTTGGGGAAAACCACTAGATTTTAAGGTATAGTAATAAATAATACCTCAAACTAAAGTTAGGATAATATAATTGACATTGCTGGATTCCTTGTAAGACCAGGAATATTTTGAATATAAATGTAATATATTTTGCACAAAAGATAACATATTTACTCAGAGTAAACAAAATACTTACATTAGATCTAAAATTTGTATGTCTAATGCAAAATCTATGATGTTTATATTCAAAATGATCATCAAATTGTAAGAATTCCAGCAATGTAAATTATATTCTGGCCGGGTAATTTGTATGAATTTTATGAGCTAAAACAAATATCTTCAGTTAATAAAAAAAAAAAATATATTCTTCACAACACTATCTGTCAATCAAAGTACCCCACCTTGCCTCGCCACCCTCTTCCAACCGCGTCAGATGGTCGGTCGGTCCCTCCCTCCCCCCACCCCCCACCAACCCTCCCTACCAGATAAATATTTAAGAGAAACCAGAATATTTACCTTTTTAGTAATAAATAATACATCAGACTAAAGTTAGGATAATATAATTGACATTGCTGGATTCCTTGCAAGACCAGGAATATTTTGAATATACACTTCATATATTTTGCACTAAAGATAACATATTTGCTCTGAGTAAACAAAATACTTGCATTAGATCTAAAATTTGTATGTCTAATGCAAAATCTATGATGCTTATACAGTTAACCCTCACTTTACGCAGTTAATGTAACCCGGAGGGTCCCGCGTAAAGTGAATAACATAACATATGGGATTAATTGAAATGGAGTCCGGGCCGATCCCCAAACTCCACTTTTTGACGACACACAACTATGTTGTAGCAAAAATTTTATCTTAACTTTATGATGGTATGAAAAAACAAGTAATATAGAAGAGGTTAGGTTAGGAAGATAAAGGTTAACATAGGAAAAATAAAGGTTAGCTTAGAAAACTAAAAATTAGGTGTAACACTTACGGTAGTAGAAGAGATGGGTCGGCATACGGGGATGGAGGCTGGTTCCGAGGCAGAGGGCAGATTACTGGCCCTCAGGTGAATCACCATTACTAGGTGAATCACCATCACTGTCACTTACAGTTGTCAGGGCTTCCCTGGGGGTGGTGGTCCGGCGGAAGCCATTTTACGGAACAATGGATGCGCGTTTACACGGAGTGGCCTTGAGGGATGAAACTGCTGCGGCTAGGTCAAGCGTCGTCTTTCCTCCCTCCCTCCCTCCCTCCCTCCCTCCCCCGGGTGGACACGTCATAATACTTTAAGCCAATTACAGCTAGCAGCAGAGGGGGGTAGGGATGCATGGCCAATCACAGGTCTGATACGTCATATGACGTCAGTGATAACGCAACACAGACACACACTGCGCAACCTTACCGCGCCGCTTGCCCAAGCGGAGGGAGGAGGAGGGAGAGGCAGGCAGGCAGGCGGGCGGGTGGCGGGTGGGGCGAATCTAAAAATAGCGTCGCGCCGGACACTCTCCGCGTAATGGTGGTTCACGTACCGCGTAATGTGAGCACGTGAGGTTCTGGCAAGGCACCGCGTTAACGTGGAAACGCGGAATGCGGGACCGCGTAAAGTGAGGGTTAACTGTATTCAAAATGATCATGAAATTATAAGAATTCCAGCAATGTAAATTATATTCTGGCCGGATAATTTGTATGAATTTTATGAGCTAAATAAAAAAATTATACTTCACCCGCATAAAGGGGTACACGCACCGCGGAATGTGAGCATCCCGGGTTCCGGCAGGGTACCGCGTAAACGTGGAAACGCGGAATGTGGGACCGCGTAAAGTAAAGGTTGACTGTATGTACACACACACACACACATATATATATATATATATATATATATATATATATATATATATATATATATATATATATATATATATATATATATATATATATATATATATATATATATATATATATATATATATATATAATTAGTTAAGTCAGTGTCAACTTACTCTTTTTTCTGAGCTGTATCCATGTAGAATATGCGGTCATCTTTTAGTGTGTTGATAAGTTCTCGCAAGCTGGAGCGTTCTCGCTCCCACTCCACCTCTCTTCCTTGAAGTTCTGCCAAACGAGCCTATTAACACAAATTGCTCAGTAAATTAATAAATCACATTAACGTTAATAGTACTATAACTATACTGTGCACAATGTTTCAACAAGGGTACTCAATAACTGTAAAGCTTCCAAAAGGAGATAATATCTTAATCTCTTATACTGTAAATACTTCAACCATCAGTGATATCTTCATACAAATTTGTTTATCAACTTTAATGGAAAGGGAAAATAAAAGAGTGTACTGCACTGATAATCATACTGAATGAGTGTAAAATACACCAATTCCGCCATTAACATCATTTCAATCAATGTCGTTTCGTTATGTCGTTGAAAAAAAAACTATGAAAATTATAAATGTACGGCAATTTTAAAAAATTTGGTACAAAGGCGCTGTGCACCTGATTGTGATAATAGTTGGCTGTGTAAGTGACCAGCGCGGGCACCATATTTGTTTGTTATTGTTCGGTAATTGGTTGAAGCTCTTCCAACATTCACTTAAAATCTAATTATAAACTTATTTGAGCCCGAGAACAATACCGATAAGTGATAAACGTGCGTTATGCACCACTAGTGGTTGTAATCACAGAAAGAAGAGGAAAAGTGTTACATTAGAAGTTAAATCAGATGTGGTAAAGAGGTTTGAAGAAGGACAGTGAACTCTAGACATAGCAAGAGCTGTCATTTTGCAGCCTCCAACTGTACAGTAGGTAAGAACAATTTGTGGAAAAGCAGAAAATATCAAACCACATGCTAAAAGTGTTACTCCATTATCTGCTACAAAGTTAACTTGTGACAGAAGTGGCATTATGGAAAATATGGAAAGAATGCTCATCGGGTGGAGCAAGGATCAACATCAACAAAACTTTCCATGTTCGTTGCTCTCCATACAGGCGAAAGCTCAAAGTTTATTTAAAACTTTAAAACAAGGTGATAGTGCTGAAAGTGAAACACTTGTGGCAAGTTGTGAGAAAATCTTGACTAAAAATGTACCCAAGGAACATAACTCCTATTTATATTATCGTGTCTATGGTTAAAATCTTTTTCACTTAAAGTCGTGGTTTTCAGGAACCTAACAAGGACATTTATGGGGGAATTGGTGTGTATATATAAAGTAGTCTTGTAGTTCAAATGGGTGCTAAGGGACACAATGACTCTACATACTGATCTATTAGTGGTTACAAAAAATGCATCACTGCTTCACCTGTACAGTACTGTACTACACTTTTCATAGAATATAAATAAAAATTAATAAAATTGACCTGGAAAAATGCAGAATTGTCTCCAGCAATGTCATTCCTTCGTGACAAAGCCTCTGTCAACTGAGTATGTTGAGCCTCCCATCGGTTCACTTCGTCATGGCCTCGTTCAACCTCTCGGATTAGTTCTGCCCGACTCACGCCCTCATAGTTATCTGTTTACCACAGAAACAATATTATTCATAACAAAACACTTTGTTTTTACTTCAGTCTGTTTGGCAGCATAAAATGTCTGGTCTCTAGTTTCTTGAAATATATCATTATGCATGCACTTCAGATAACATTAATAAATTATATAAAGTATGCAATACATTATTTGTGAAACTTATAACAATACAAAAACTAGTAATAAAACTGTACTTTGGCTAGGAGAAAAAACCTTTTCTTATATTAGGACAGTAGAGTATTGTTCTCACTTCACAGTTCTCTGATAGGGTTATGACATTCACTATTATGTACAGTATTACCCCGCTTAACGCGCTTTCACTTAACGCGTTTTCGCATATACGCGGTGCCTTGCCAAAGCTGAACTTTCACTTAACGCGGCATTTTTCATCATATACGCGGTGAGTGTCCGGCTCGAGAGCTATTTTTAGATTCGCACCACCCCCCACCCGCCACCCTGCCTGACTGCCTGTTTTAGCTCATAAAATTCATACAAATTACCCAGCCAGAATATAATTTACATTGCTGGAATTCTTATAATTTGGTGATCATTTTGAATATAAACAACATATATTTTGCATTAAACATACAATTTTTAGATAAAAATTGTTCTCTAGGTAATTATGTTATCTTTTGTCCAAAATATATGACATTTATATTCAAAATATTCCTGGTCTTACAAGGAATCCAGCAATGTCAATTATATTATCCTAACTTTAGTTTGAGGTATTATTTATTAAAATTTAGTGGTTATCCCACACATCTCCTTGGGACGGTTGGTGGGGGGTGGGGGGGAGGGAGGGACCGACCGACCGACCATCTGTTACCCTGTGAAGAATTATTTTTTTTTTTATTAACTGAAGATATTTGTTTTAGCTCATAAAATTCATACAAATTACCCGGTCAGAATATATTTTACATTGCTGGAATTCTTATAATTTGGTGATCATTTTGAATATAAACAACATATATTTTGCATTAAACATACAATTTTTAGATAAAAATTGTTCTCTAGGTAATTATGTTATCTTTTGTCCAAAATATATGACATTTATATTCAAAATATTCCTGGTCTTACAAGGAATCCAGCAATGTCAATTATATTATCCTAACTTTAATCTGAGGTATTATTTAATACTAAATGTTAAAAACTCTTGAATGGAGGATTGGTGGGGGGTGGGGGGAGGGTTGGGACTGACCACGCGGTTGGAAGAGGGGGGGAAGGCAAGGTGGGGTACTTTGATTGACAGATAGTGTCGAAGAATATTTTTTTTTTTTATTAACTGAAGATATTTGTTTTAGCTCATAAAATTCATACAAATTACCCGCCAGAATATAATTTACATTGCTGGAATTCTTACAATTTGCTGATCATTTTGAATATAAACAACATATATTTTGCATTAAACATACAATTTTTAGATAAAAATTGTTCTCTAGGTAATTATGTTATCTTTTGTGAAAAATATATGACATTTATATTCAAAATATTCCTGGTCTTACAAGGAATCCAGCAATGTCAATTATATTATCCTAACTTTAGTTTGAGGAATTATTTATTACTATACCTGGTTTTCCCCCAAAAATTTCTCAGAGGGAAGAGCCAGTGAGTGTAGTGTGAGAAGAGGGGGAGGGAGTTGAGTCCATTATTTGAATGGACATTAACTTGGCGACTGTATTTCTCTATTTCTCTTAAGTATTAATTGTGTGCATGTACCATCATAAAATTAAGATGTTATTTTTACTACAACATAGTTATTTGTCGTCAAAAAGTGGAGTTTGGGGGTCGGGCTGGGTTCTATTGGAATTAATCCCATATGTTCTGTTATTCACTTAACGCGGTTTTCACTTAACGCGACCCTCTGGGTTCAATTGACCGCGTTAAGTGGGGTACAACTGTAAACAATTTACACCTCTGGGTGCCAGGTTAGAACCAAGGTCACCAAAGTTGGTAGTCATTATTGTTAACAAGTAAGAAGTTCTGCACTTTCAATAAAATCTTTAAATAATAAGCACAAAAAAAAATTCATTTAGTTCAGAAACAATGCAGAGAATTTAATACAAATAGCAAATTTCTGCTATACAAATCTAGATCTAAATAGCACTACATTAACTTTGTATTGCAAATTGTGATTAGATATCAGTTCTTTTAAACTTTGGAATGGAACAACAATCAATATATGTACACAACTAACTTTTAACATCCTCAGAAAGACCAAGAACTCTTTCCAAGTCAGCCATAAGTTTGTCTTTTTCTTCAGTGAGTGAGGACAATTGGTGCCCCAGCTGAGCATTTTCCTCCTCCAGCTGTGTAAGAGCTTGTTGCAGGCCGGTTGTTGGTGACTCCTGGACATCACCGCCATCTCTTCGGTGAGGCATCCCTTCCCTGTTGTCTTGCTCTCCCCGCATGTTGGACCAGTGACTGGGGCTCAACACTTTGGGGTCTTGCTGTGGTGATGGTGGCTGTAGATGATGTGAGTTCTGATGATGTGGAGATGATTGCTGTGAAGGTTTCTGATAGTGCTGAAATTGTTGTTGCTGCTGCTGCTGTTGTTGAACTATATTCAATTGATTTCTCAATCTCACAACCTGCAACAAGAGATGAATATTAGTTATGAACAACCCAAACACAAGTGTTATTGAAAGTGAAACAAATAGAACTGGAATAAACACCATGATACTGTAATATAATACAGACAATGAATGTTATCTGATGGGGTTAGGGACCTCACAAAGCCATCAATCAGTGACCCATTCCTGAGCCCCTGAAGACCCCAACGAGTTTTATATCCAACTGCGATAATGATTAAAAAATTTCTAAATAACTCAAATAATTTATAAATAGACAAACACAATAAATTTATACAAAACATAGACTTACTTTCATTTACCTTACATGATATGTACGTGTACAGTAGTAAGTTGCAATCCTACACCTGTCACTACAAGTAATTTTGGGGAGACATGTGCAATTTTCTTTATTTTTTTTTTTACTGTTACATGCACACACTCTTTCATAGAGAATGGGCAAAAAACTAATAATAATTATCATAACTTAAAAAAAATAAAGGCAATAAACATTTCTTATGTGTGAGGAACTCATCACAGAGTGGGGTAGACATGCAATTGTTTTATTTATTTTTTGTTACATGTACACACAATCTTTCATATATAACGTGCAAAAATATTAAAAGAAATTATTATAAGGTTAAAAACAAAGAGAATAAACATTTTGTATGTCCCTATGAGTTAATGTGGATTGTGGGAGCGGGAGGGGGGTGAGGATTCGGTATCCCAGCCTCCAGCCAAGCTGTGAGCTGCGTTATTGTTATTTTTCAACTCGTATTTTCGGATAGACATATGTATTTTTCCTTTTTCTTTTTTACTGTTACATGCACACACAATCGTTCATACAGAATTTGTAAAAAAAAAAAGTAAAATAATATTTGTCATAAATTCAAAAACATGAAGGGGTTAAACATTTATACGTGTGGGAGCTAGCACAAGAAAGTGAGGGAGAGGGTGTGGTGTCCTCTCATGGGTCTGCTATCTCGTGCTAGTGATGAGATTGCCAAATGGCAACCATTATTTTTTATCTTTTCATTTATTTATTATTATTTTTTATATTCCTCATATTTACTGGTAGGGTATATATATTAAATCATTTACAGTACAAAGGATAGCTTTTTCCACACACAAACCATCCTCTGAGCGATGTGACACGGTCAACTGCTTAGCCTGGCAATCACCGAAGACGGGTAGAACCTCCCACGTGTTGCATGTGTTACACCATTCCATGAATGCGTCATTGTATCTCAGAATATTGCGAGTTATTGCACAACACTTTTTCATATTAGTGAAAATGCAGGAAAAGCACTTGGGTTGCAACCATCATAAAACTGAACTTTAGCCATCGCATGGTGACAAATGGTGCTAAATTTTTTACGTTGTAAAACTAATTACCATGTATTGCTCCATCTTATAGCATCATTTCCCGTACTGTATTCCATAAATTTTCTTGAACATCCATTTTTTGGCACAATACTATATGTTTACCTTGCTGTACAGAACTATATGTTTACCTATGTACCAGAACTATATGTTTACCTTGCTATACAATACTATATATGTTTACCTTGTGTACAGAACTATATGTTTACCTTGATGTACAATACTATATGTTTACCTTTGCTGTACAGAACTATATGTTTACCCTACTTTAACAATACTATATGTTTACCTTGCTGTACAGAACTATATATTTTACTGTACAATACTATATATTTTACCTTGCTGTACAGAACTATATATTTTACCTTGCTATACAATACTATATGTTTACCTTGCTGTACAGAACTATATGTTTACCTTGTACAGAACTATATGTTTACCTTGCTATACAATACTATATGTTTACCTTACTGTACAATACTATATGTTTTGATGTACAGAACTATATGTTTACTTTGCTATACAATACATATGTTTACCTTGCTGTACAGAACTATGTTTACCTTCATGTACAGAACTATATTTACCTTGCTGTACAATACTATATGTTTTCCTTGCTATACAAGAACTATATGTTTTACATAGCACATACTATATGTTTACCTTGCTGTAGAACTATATGTTTACCTTGCTGTACAATACTATATGTTTACCTGTACACAGAACTATATGTTTACCTTGCTGTACAGAACTATATGTTTACTAACTTGTACAATACTATATGTTTACCTTGCTGTACAATACTATATGTTTACCTTGCTGTACAATACTATATGTTACACACTGCTGACTATATGTTACCTTGCTGTACAAAACTATATGTTTTACCTTGCTATACAATACTATATGTTTACCTTGCTGTACAAAACTATATGTTTACCTTGCTGCGTTACTATATGTTTACCTTGCTGTACAGAACTATATGTTTACCTTGCTGTACAATACTATATGTTTACCTTGCTGTACAAAACTATATGTTTACCTTGCTGTACAGAACTATATGTTTACCTTGCTGTACAATACTATATGTTTACCTTGCTGTACAATACTATATGTTTACCTTGCTGTACAAAACTATATGTTTACCTTGCTATACAATACTATATATTTTACCTTGCTGTACAATAACTATATGTTTTACCTTGCTATACAATACTATATGTTTACCTTGCTGTCACAAACTATATATTTTACCTTGCTGTACAATACTATATGTTTACCTTACTTACTATATGTTTACCTTGCTGTACAAACTATATTTTACCTTGCTGTACAAAACTATATGTTTACAACTGCTTTATTACTATATATTTACCTTCTGTACATACTATAGTTTATGCTATACAATACTATATTTACCTTGCTGTACAGAACTATATGTTTACCTTGCTATACAATACTATATGTTTAACTTGCTGTACAAAACTATATGTGTTTTGCTATACATACTATATGTTTACCTTGCTGTACAAAACTATATGTTTACCTTGCTGTACAAACTATATTTTTACTCTGTACAATATATTTTACCTTGCTGTACAACTATATGTTTTTCTGTCAAAACTATATGTTTACCTTGCTGTACAATATATATGTTTACCTTGCTGTATACAGAACTATATGTTTTACTTACTGTACAATACTATATTGTTTACCTTGCTGTACAATACTATATGTTTACCTTGCTGTACAAAACTATATGTTTACCTTGCTGTACAATACTATATGTTTACCTTGCTGTACAGAACTATATGTTTACTATGCTGTTATATGTTTACCTTACTGTACAATACTATATGTTTATACTGTACAATACTATATGTTTACCTTGCTGTACAATACTATATGACATACTGCTTTATTTATATATGTTTACCTTACTGTACAATACTATATATGTTTACCTTGCTGTATATTACTATATGTTTACCTTACTGTACAATACTATATGTTTACCTTGCTGTACAATATATGTTTTACCTTACTGTACAATACTATGTTTACCTTAACATACAATACTATATATTTACCTTGCTGTACAATACTATATGTTTACCTTATGTACAATACTATATGTTTTACCTTGCTGTACAATACTATATGTTTTACCTTGCTTTTAACAATACTATATGTTTACCTTGCTTTGTACAATACTATATGTTTTACCTTAACAGCACAATACTATATGTTTACATTGCTGTACAATACTATATATTGTTTACCTTGTACAGCACAATACTATATGTTTACCTTGCTGTATAATACTATATATTTTACCTTACTGTACAATACTATATGTTTACCTTGCTGTACAATACTATATATTTACCTTGCTGTATAATACTATATGTTTACCTTGCTGTACAATACTATATATTTTACCTTGCTGTACAATACTATATGTTTACCTTTATATGTATAATACTATATGTTTACCTTGCTGTACAATACTATATGTTTACCTTGCTGTATAATACTATATTTGCAACACTGTACAATACTATATGTTTACCTTGCTGTATATGTTTACCTTGCTGTATAATACTATATGTTTTTTGTACAGTACTCCATAACAGTACATGTTTCCTATTGAGCCTCAACATCTTATATTTTAAATTTAGTCCAATACTAGTAAAAGTGGTAACTGCATTCGCTTAAAGTGATGTGCGGCATTTAAATCTGTTTTTTTAACGTAAAAAAAATAATAATATGAATGTAGCAGCATAGCAAATGAAACTAAAAAAAGACTTATGAAATAAACACGATATTTTTTTTATTACAGGCGGCAACGCTGTACACTCAAGGACAGGGGGAAGAATTTTCCGTCCCTCTCGGTTTATTTTCCTTATATTTTTACCAATAATATTCGATTATATTGTACTACTTAGATTACTATGGCAATACACAGTGTGGGAGGGAGGAAGAAGTGTGGGAGGGAGGAAGAGGTGTGGGAGGGAGGAAGAGGTGTGGGAGGGAGGAAGAGGTGTGGAAGGGAGGAAAGAAGTGTGGAAAGGGAGGAAAAAGGGAGTGTGGAAGGGAGGAAGGGTGTGGGGAGGGAGGGAAGAAGTGTGGAAGGGAGGAAGAAGTGTGGAAGGGAGGAAGAGAGTGTGGAAAGGGGAGGGAGGAAGAAGTGTGGGGAGGGAGGAAGAAGTGTGGAAGGGAGGAAAGAAGTGTGGAAGGAGGGAAAGAGTGTGGAAGGGAGGAAGAAGTGTGGAAGGGAGGGAGAAAGAGAGTGTGGGGGAGGGGAGGAAGAAGTGTGGAAGGAGGAAGGAGGTGTGGAAGGGAGGAAGAAGTGTGGAAGGGGAGGAAGAAGTGTGGAGGGAGGGAAGAGGGTGTGGGAGGGAGGGAAGGAGGTGTGGAAGGGAGGAAGGGGGAGTGTGGAAGGGAGGAAGAAGTGTGGGAGGGGGAATGGGAGGAGGAAGAAGTGGAAGGAGGAAGAATGTGAGGGAGGAAGTGAGGGAGGAAGAAGTGTGGGAGGAGGAAGAAGTGTGAGGGAGGAAGGTGTGGGAGGGAATGGAAGGGAGAAGAAGGGAGGGAGGGAAGGAGGGAGGGATGGGAGGGAGGAAGGTGGAAGGGAG